GGTATTTTGGACGAAAACTTTCTCCCCATTCAGAAAGGCAATGCACTTCGTCGAAAATTATGGAAGATTTACGAATTTGCCTTACGTCTTAAAAAAAACCATTTCTCCATGAAGATTTTAACACTGACTCTGGCGAAGAAATCAGAAAACTAAAGTCACGACTTGCACTGCATGAAAACAAAATTAAAAAAATAGAAATTAGGGGCACATTAACTTTTTTGCAATCTTTGATTTGCCTTTCTGTAGAATGTCCAAAAATGTGTTTGTATTTTTGTAATAACATGTTGTAGAACATGTGAGATACATACAACTGGAAAAAGCTTTGAACTTTGTGATACATGCTAACAAATTGTAAAGAAGGGGTAGTAGTTAGAACTAATATCATACAAAGTACTAAACAATCAATGTTATTGTGTACAATAGAATTAATCCCAAAGCACATGGTCTTCCTAAAACCAGTCGCAGAAATCCAAGGAGCTATTGACAAATCTGTCATTAATTATTCATTTTTGAGCTGAAATGTTTTATTATGTTGGCTTTTCTTTCCTCAAAACAATTTCTTCGTTTATCCAAATCCATCGTTATTAATGACAATAAACTAATATATGTATTTTAATGTATTTTTATGAAACTGTTATTTGTGTTATACAATTACACAATTTAAATGATGAGCTTATGAACGGAATTTAATGAGCATGCGAATTATAGAAATGCCTTTTAAGATACAGATAATTTATTTAGCTTTGAAACATAACCGTTTTTAATAATTTTCAATACAGGCCAACAGCATGTCGATCGGTATTAATCTATGATAGGGACCCAGGTCATTAATCTATAAATAGAATTGTAAACTCGTGCTTTGTGTGTCATTTCTGCGTTCGACACAGACCTTTAAACATGAATCTATACTGTATCTTTACAGAAGTTTGGAGAATGGCAACTTGTGCTAATTGTGAAAGGGCTTTTTTTGAAAAGGCCTGGGGAAAGTGGCGGTTATTACCGCTTTTCACTTTAGAGAGAATTAGAAAGCAAGCAAACTGCACGAGAGCAACTAGAGCATTTAACTGAAAGTGCATTTACACTAAAGGAAAGGAAGACAGCACGGTTCTTGTGTCTTCTGTGTTGGAATAACTTGAAGGACACAGCACGATAAAAGAACTCGTTGGACCAGTTCTTTGGCGTGACATATTCTTCATCGTATGTCGGTGGCAAACGCTCAGATTCAACGCAGTGTAGTTCTGTCCAGGACCATTTAGAGCCTTCATCAAGCAAACGGCCGGCAGAATATCCTGTACCTAAAATAGTACCACTGTCTTGGTCTTTCAAACGGCCAAGATTCACAAGTATCCCACTAAAGGTATAGATCTTTGCATAATTGTCTAGCAAGTTTTCAAATGTTTTGAAAGCTTAGTTACATTAAATAATAACCGTCGTGAAACGTTATATATTAATGCAGTCGCTTATTCTTTATGAAAAGTAACTATTTACTACAAACTGTCATATTTGTGATTTTACATTTAAAAGAAAAAGGAAATTTTCGGCTGAGCGGTGTATAGTTTCATAGGGAAAATAAAGTTAAAGTCCTACAAAGCAACGCCATTTGGTTTTCACTTACAGACAATTTTATCACTTACAGACATTTATCAGAGTGGTTAAATACATGTATATTGAGGAGTCCTACTTTGGGAATGATTAACAAATATTTTAAACTTTTACTTGTGAAGAGGTGTTTGTAATACAGAGGTCGGACAGTATATTTGATCTGAAATTTATGCATGGTAAAGGAAGTTGTACCTTCTTCCTATTCTTAAAGGCCCACAACGCAATATTTTTCAATTCTCAAAAACGTCATAATTTGTAACATCCTCCAATTTCAAAAAAAAATTATTATTCCTGAAACAGGTGAACCATCTTTGACTTTGGAATATTTGGTTTAATGAACTAGTAAAGTAAACCTCTCTTATAGTGGACGTGGTTACAGCGAACGTCCGGTTATAAGGCGAATTTTGCCCTATATTTTATACAAAAAATACAACGGTTGTAAGGAATTATCGCTTATAATGAATTCATTTTTAAGTCCCAGTTCAGTACAGAAAATCACACTTTTATAAGGAAATCCTAAATATCGCATATCCGAAAATATATCCCCACTTTTACTTTCGTTTTCATCGGCACGGATGACTGAGGAAAAATTGATTCTGATATTATCACAGACATATTAGGAACAAATAATGTGGATGACTGTCAGTCATCCAAAGACGAGAGCAATTTAGATGATCTGCCGGTAGTTTCAAGAACAGAAGTTATAATTGATTCTTTGTATAAGACTTTGTCGTACTTCGAGTCTAATGCACATGTAAAAGAACCAGTTTTCTAAAAAGTTTATTGGATATTGAATTTTAACGAAAGAATTGTAAGCATTCGCAAACTAAATTCAGCGTCTTCTTCAAAGCAAAGTGACTTTTTTTCTACATGATACTGTATTGTCAATAAATAACAATATTGTACATATCATATGATCATGTTCTAGATACATTTATATATGAAATATGAAAAACAAGATCAACAAGGAAAGGCGGCGTTCAATGAACGCAACCCCCATATGACCCAGCAACAAGAACCAATGGCAAGGAGCCCAGGCGGACCCCAAACATAAAAAGGACCTCTTTATTAAAAAAATGGCATCGTCTACCATTTTGAAGAGCATTTGTTTAAAAGAATAACTCATTTTGGTTCGTCATTGTTGTCTCCATTACATTGATTCAATAAAGAAATAATTGCAATGTTTTTTTAATAAAGAGGTCCTTTTTATGTTTGGGGTCCGCCTGGGCTCCTTGCCATTGGTTCTTGTTGCTGGGTCATATGGGGGTTGCGTTCATTGAACGCCGCCTTTCCTTGTTGATCTTGTTTTTCATATTTCATATATAAATGTATCTAGAACATAATTATACGATATGTACAATATTGTTATTTATTGACAATACAGTATCATGTAGAAAAAAGTCACTTTGCTTTAAAGTAGTCGCTTATTTTAGTTTACGAATGCTTACAATTCTTCCGGTAAAATTCAATATTCAATAATCTTTTTAGAAAACTGGTTCCTCTACATGTGCATTAGACTCGAAGTACGACAAAGGCTTATGGAAAGAATCAATAGCTTCTGTTTTTGAAACTACCGGCAGATCATCTTTATTGCTCTCGTCTTTGGATGACTGACAGTCAGCGACATTATTTGTTCCTAATATTTCTGTGATAATATCCGAATCAATTTTTTTCCTCAGTCATCCGTGCCGATGAAAACGAAGTAAAAATGCGGGATATACAATGTATTTACGGAAAGCCGATATTTAGGACTTCGTTATAAAAGTAAAATTTTCTGTACTGAATTTGGACTTAAAAATGAGTTCCTTATAAGCGATAATTCCTTACAACCGTGTTCGCTATAATCGTATTTTTTGTATAAAATATAGGACAAAATTCTCCTTATAACCGGACGTTCGCTGTAACCGTGTCCACTATAAGAGAGGTTTACTTTACTAGTTCATTGAATCAAATATTCCAAAGTCAAAGATGGTTCACCTGTTTCAGGAATAATAATTTTTTTTTGAAATTGGAGGATGTTACAAATTATGACGTTTTTGAGAATTGAAAAATATTGCGTTGTGGGCCTTTAAGAATAGGAAGAAGGTACAACTTCCTTTACCATGCATAAATTTCAGATCAAATATACTGTCCGACCTCTGCAGAACGGCCATCTGTATTACAAACACCTCTTCACAAGTAAAAGTTTAAAATATTTGTTAATCATTCCCAAAGTAGGACTCCACAATATACATGTATTTAACCACTCTGATAAATGTCTGTAAGTGATAAAATTGTCTGTAAGTGAAAACCAAATGGCGTTGCTTTGTAGGACTTTAACTTTATTTTCCCTATGAAACTATACACCGCTCAGCCGAAAATTTCCTTTTTCTTTTAAATGTAAAATCACAAATATAACAGTTTGTAGTTAATAGTTACTTTTCATAAAGAATAAGCGACTGCATTAATATATAACGTTTCACGACGGTTATTATTTAATGTAACTAAGCTTTCAAAACATTTGAAAACTTGCTAGACAATTATGCAAAGATCTATACCTTTAGTGGGATACTTGTGAATCTTGGCCGTTTGAAAGACCAAGACAGTGGTACTATTTTAGGTACAGGATATTCTGCCGGCCGTTTGCTTGATGAAGGCTCTAAATGGTCCTGGACAGAACTACACTGCGTTGAATCTGAGCGTTTGCCACCGACATACGATGAAGAATATGTCACGCCAAAGAACTGGTCCAACGAGTTCTTTTATCGTGCTGTGTCCTTCAAGTTATTCCAACACAGAGGACACAAGAACCGTGCTGTCTTCCTTTCCTTTAGTGTAAATGCACTTTCAGTTAAATGCTCTAGTTGCTCTCGTGCAGTTTGCTTGCTTTCTAATTCTCTCTAAAGTGAAAAGCGGTAATAACCGCCACTTTCCCCAGGCTTTTTCAAAAAAAGCCCTTTCACAATTAGCACAAGTTGCCATTCTCCAAACTTCTGTAAAGATACAGTATAGATTCATGTTTAAAGGTCTGTGTCGAACGCAGAAATGACACACAAAGCACGAGTTTATAATTCTATTTATAAATTAATGACCTGGGTCCCTATCATAGATTAATACCGATCGACATGCTGTTGGCCTGTATTGAAAATTATTAAAAACGGTTATGTTTCAAAGCTAAATAAATTATCTGTATCTTAAAAGGCATTTCTATAATTCACATGCTCATTAAATTCCGTTCATAAGCTCATCATTTAAATTGTGTAATTGTATAACACAAATAACAGTTTCATAAAAATACATTAAAATACATATATTAGTTTATTGTCATTAATAACGATGGATTTGGATAAACGAAGAAATTGTTTTGAGGAAAGAAAAGCCAACATAATAAAACATTTCAGCTCAAAAATGAATAATTAATGACAGGTTTGTCAATAGCTCCTTGGATTTCTGCGACTGGTTTTAGGAAGACCATGTGCTTTGGGATTAATTCTATTGTACACAATAACATTGATTGTTTAGTACTTTGTATGATATTAGTTCTAACTACTACCCTTCTTTACAATTTGTTAGCATGTATCACAAAGTTCAAAGCTTTTTCCAGTTGTATGTATCTCACATGTTCTACAACATGTTATTACAAAAATACAAACACATTTTTGGACATTCTACAGAAAGGCAAATCAAAGATTGCAAAAAAGTTAATGTGCCCCTAATTTCTATTTTTTTAATTTTGTTTTCATGCAGTGCAAGTCGTGACTTTAGTTTTCTGATTTCTTCGCCAGAGTCAGTGTTAAAATCTTCATGGAGAAATGGTTTTTTTTAAGACGTAAGGCAAATTCGTAAATCTTCCATAATTTTCGACGAAGTGCATTGCCTTTCTGAATGGGGAGAAAGTTTTCGTCCAAAATACCGGGAAATGGCCCAATTAAGAAGCTGTTTTAAAGTTCTTTTCCTTGCAATCAGTACCACAAGTACAAAAATGTAAAAAAAGACATCATTTCAATTCAAAAACTTGACATTGAAGAAACCGTCATTGTTTCGAAGTCACCACATCGATAAAATATAATATTATCGTGTTTTAAAAGGCAACAGAAACCGTTTGAAGATGAGCTTTCCTTTCTCGTTGATCATATAAAAAACGGCAAAAAGTCCAAAAAAATAATATTTATTGCCGTTCCATAGATGTAGTCGCGGAGGTTTTTATTTCATTAAAAGAAGCATTGAATAAAAAATGCATATGTTGACGACATTCAGAATTCATAATAGAAATGTACCATAAATGCACACAAATAAACCAAGGATTGTGAATGATTTCTCAAAACAAGGCTGTCATCCGTTGTTTAGCTTGGGAATTGACATTGATATACCTGACATAGTTGTGGTTATACACATTGGTTGTCCAAAATATGTCATATCATATTGGCAGGAAGCGGGTAGATGTGCAAGAGATGGGCGCTGTGGCCTTAGTTTAATTATGAATGCTTATTTTTACGGCATCGCTGAAAAGCACAGATAAGAGTATGGCAGAAATTGTACAAATTTCTAAAGAAAGATGTATTAAAAAATGGTACTTCGAAAATTTAATGTCAGTGATGCTGATTTTTTTAAAATTTTCTGTGTGTTTGGTATGTAAGGTAAATGCGTATGCACTTCTTGTACTTGTTGCTCAACCTGTGCAAAGAAGTACCCTTGTACTGACAGGAGTGGTTTAGCTGTGAAGAATTTTTTTAGCTTACAATTATATTTTTGAGTGAAAAATGAGGATTGCCTTGTTTTATCTCGCAATTAAAATACATGATTTTAATATTCATTACAGGTTTTCGGTTTCTAACTTATTACTTTCATATTTTTCGAAATTATATAATTTAGTGATAATGTACCAAAGAAGACATGTTTTATAAGATATGATTTACTACAGATCTGCTTTTATCAAATAATAGATCGATCTTTTTTATGGAACTTATGCATAAAGAAAATTATACATAGCGGAACTATTCAAGATCATGACAGTTTAGTACAAAATGATAGACACATGCTGAATAGTGCGCTGTAGTTCCGAGTGGAATTGAGGATTGCTTCGATTTTTTCGCAATAAATATTTTTCATTATACATGTAGTACATATTATTATTTACTTATATAAAATCAAATATTGAAACATATTGATGAAATAAGATGTTTATTTTCATTTTTCCGTATTTTTACTGTAAACAGTTATTTTTCACTGCAATGAAACATATATTCACCGGTTTCTTGCCGGACTACTTTCTTCTAAATTCAGCATAACACAAAATGGAAGTGGAAGTCTTTCAAATTGTCACGTATGATAAGAGAAAAATGTATGTATTAAACAGAAAATGCAAGTTTTATACCAATCGATAAAAATTAAGCGTAGCTAGGTCATGTATGTAGCTGTGTTTAAAAAAAATCTTAAATATCCTCTATGTATTCTATTCATAACAATAATATATTTTATTTTTTTTATTGTAATGTTCATCGCTTTGTAATATTGTTTCATTACATGCAAACAAGGAACGGAAACGAACCAAAACTAAACAAAAAAAAAAAATACACACAGACACACAAATATACAAATATGGGGGCGTGCACAGTTGATCACACTATGGGAAAAAAATCGTCTTAACGCCGATTCGTAATTAACATGTAAAGTTTCAATATGGCTGAATACTGATGAAAACAAGGTTGAAGGTTGAAAATTTAAACCAGCATTCGTACAAATGTAGAGGAGAATTTGATACTGTTGCATTGCTGATTAAATAAAGGTATATTTTGTCTTGCCTTGCACATTTTCACCGTATATCCTTTACTTTTATAAATTTGATTTATGCTACATCTTTCTGATACAATCCGTTTAGACTTTGAAAAGCCTTGATAATATAAAATGTAAAATGTCCCAATGATGAATGTAAAATGTTAAAGAACTTTTTTCACGGCTCATTATTTGGACTATATAGTGTATAGTTTAAAACTAAATATTCATCATTTAAACATTTGAAAAAATGCAGATATATTAATCATTTATCAGATTGATAATAGCCATGTTGCGCAGTTATTCAGATAAGATATCGACCTTTCCGGTGGTATGGGGTGTGAGATATTTTACACATTCCATTATTTTTGACAAACCACCGAATCTGCAATTTTGTTTTCCGGACTTCTCCTAAAAAAAAAAAACTTTGCAATTTCATCCAAACTTTACAGGAATGATCATTATCAGTTATCTTTGAAGTTTGTCCAGACTCTTTTTCTCTTTTACCAGTAAATAAATTAAACTGAACTGAAGATTTACTGGATTAATTGTTAGCTAAAGTTCTTGCTCGGATTACACGGGTTCTCCGGTTGAATGATTTTTGGTTGAGTGATGGCCCTTTAAAAAAACGTTTTGACGTGTTATTAATTTTTGTGTTGCCTACTGTACAGTAGCTGAAATATGCTACAGGGTAGCTACAACTTTGTCGTATGTCCATCCGTCTGTCTAAACAAAACTTATGCCGACTTCTTCTCAAAAACTACTGGTGCAATTGCAAGAATTGACCTGGGGCATGTCATCGGCATTTTCCAGTTCAATGATTTTTATTTCTTAAAGCTTTGCTTAGACTATTTCTCTTATATTCCTTATGCAACTTGATCGGTACCACAAGAACGTGTGTTTAATCAATGTGTTTTCCGGTGATTTTTGGCCGACTTTCAAACTCGGGTAATGAAAGAAAACAATACTGTTTAGTTTAATTTCAAAAAATATCATCAAAATTGGGAGAAGAATTGTTAAAAAATAATTCCAATTAAAAATTCACAATTATTATACCATATGAATTAATGAACAATAATACGTTTTTAACAGATAAACAATTAATTATCAATACCTATTTATATGTATTATACGAACTTTTTATTATGAATATATATAAGGATCATGGTGTTACCATATTGTCATGCTGTAATGCATGTTTTAACCAACGACATTGATTTTATATGTAGACACCGACTGCCTGATAAGGTTATTAATGATTTATTAATTAAGATCAAACATGCACTGTTCATACCAAGTGAAATAACAAAGACGAAACTCCATCGCGGAAAGGAATTAACATTAGTGTTATGCCCGTTTTCCAATCCATATATTATATTATTGCGATGTAAAATGATAAATGCATGGTAAATTTGCTAGATTAAATATGTTTAAACTAAGTTAAGATTGAGTTTGATATTAACTATTAACCTGCAGCGTTTAGATAATAGGATGTACTTTATTATACTTTAAAGATTTTAAACCCGCTACTAAAATTGATTTAATTGTCGTACATACAATTAAGTGCATAAATAATGTAAACAAATATTTAGATAAATCTAGTGACCAGTTATAGTTATACAGTTATTGGAGGTAATTGAATATACGTGATGAATTGTACAATGATGAGACTTAAATAAAATATTTAACTATGAGTGATATTTCAGCAAAAACGCATTTCACTAAAATCTCCAAAGGTTCACAAAGTGATAACGCCAAAGCGACTTTGGGCTTTCTTTAGGGATTCTGTTTTCTCTATTTTATATAGAAAATTAATCTTTTTCTGTAGAATATTGACCGTTGGAGGTTTCATCATTCTATAAAGGTCACTTAAATTCGTTACATCAGCTTCCAAATAATCATCTTTTCGTCTGCAAATGTTTCAAAGGAAACTATTGTTCAATGACGAAAATATAACAGTTTAAAATATTTTACACCGTCTAAATATGGCAGCATGCCAGTGCTGAAATTTGCTTGATAACGAAAAAATTAATTCGCAATTACGTAATATCAATTTACATCCAAGTTGCCATATATTCATATTTCAATCCAAATTATACTCCCCCCACACACTTTTTCAGTAACATGATTATTCAAAATAGATGGCAAAAAATCAAAATGTTTTAATTTCTGAGACAATTAATCTTTTCTGACATTTTTTCTTTAAAAAAGTAACAGGCTTATATAATTACTTTCTTTAATCATACACATCAGTAAACTTAAGGGGGCTGTCCTCCAGATTTTCACTAAAAACAAAAGATCCTTAAAAATTATGTATGGGTAGCGCATGCACTAACACGAGCTATCGTGTAAACTCAAACAACAGGCGATTGAAGTAAGTTATAATCAGTACTGTTACACCGTCACGTTAAGGTACACGACTTAGGAAAAAACATTTATAAAAACTGTATTTACCTGACTTATAAGTAAGCAGGACCTTATTTTATAAATATTAACAAAATATTACCAAACCCTTAAAATGATAATATTTTCTATTTTTTTGTCTGTCATCTGGTTGCTAGCCCCTTTAAAACCCACATGTAAGGTTGCCCTTTTATTTTTTTTTGAAAAATTATCAATTTCATAAAATGGGACATAGTTTTACCAAAATTTAAACCAGGGGCATTTTTCCAAAATAGCTGATTTTTTTAAAAATCAAGGTCATTGTGTCATTTACCTGTGACGACTAGCCCATAATTCAAAAGGTGTCATTTACTGGTCAGGGCCTCTCCCCTCAGTAAATGTCATAGGTATAAAGGTATTGAGTCGACAAGAAAAAAAGCTTTGGTGCCAGTAGTGATCCCGTTTAAAAACAGGATTGACTTCGTAAAAATCGAAACATTAATTCGTATTTAAGCATTAATATTTCGTGATTCCGAATCAATATTTCGTTAAAACAAATAAAGTACAAGGAAAAAAAATGGACTTGCGTGCAACACATTGTGCCTATCAGATAAGTTTAATAATGAAATAGATGGGACTTAGAACATATAAACTAAAGTACACTGTATGCATATATATTTACAAAACAGATATATCTTAATATAAACTAAAGTACACTGTTTGCATATATATTTACAAAACAGATATATCTTAATATAAACTAAAGTACACTGTATGCATATATATTTACAATACAGATAAAGTAGTTTTATATTCAAGAAGAGGATTACAACGGAAGATAAGACTTTTAAGATTCTTCTCCTTTTAGTGTATTTTTTCAAGTGCCAAGTTTCGTACCACATAAACATTTTGGAATAATATAAATGCAAAAATATGTAGCAAGTAAGAAACTATATAGCAATCTATACTGACTGAAAATTACTGTTTCAATGTGATGTTGTAGCTAATGAAAACATAATTAAGAAGCGAGATAGGTCTAGTTAAGAAAAGGAAAGAATGTTCATACAATTAGATCAGAGAAGTCGTGTTGTTTTGGATATGTGAATATGAACATACTTGAAAATAGTGGCTTTATCTTTATCAGGGACTTCTGGGTTGCCGAATAGAAAAATATTAAGATTAATATTGAAATTATTAAGACTTTCTTTGAAACTCATTCTGACTTTATGCGTTAAAGAGCATTCAAAAAATATAAATACTTTCTATTTGCCTGCACTTATATAACGGTGTAGAAAGTTATTATTGATTCAGAAAAAGGTGATAGTTAAAGGAGCTGCATTTTGTGCGTAAACTTGCGTGTAATAG